TCGTACAGTATTCGGATTTCTTTCAAGTCGAATGCCAACCCAAACCCTTTACACGTTCCAAAATGAAACGATTGGAAATAACCTTTGACGAAAAACCAAGCGACAACTGCTGCCAAAACAATGGCTGCAGCTCTCTCGTTCCTTCGATGTCGCGAGCTCTTCCGCGCTGCTGCTGCTTACCAAGTAGGCTCGCACCATGACATTCTCCTCTTTCGTTGCATGCCGTTGCCAACCCCACCAACTCCGTCTATGCCGTTGTCGTCCCAGTACATCTCGTTCGGCTCACTATCCACCTTTCCCATGATTTGGCCTCACTCAAGTGTGCTCGATGATATCAATGCATCGTCATCAACCATCGAAGAAACACCCATCGTGTCTTGCCTTGATATCGACCAAGCTGGGCTTGCAAAGCTGCACGACACACTGGGTCCATGGCTGCTCGAGTATGGCACGTCCCGTTTACCTATTCTTATCTCTGAAGCGCCAGAGCTACAATCAGTGCTCCTTGCATATGCTTGTATGCATGGCGAGGTAGCTGTGATCAAGTACCTTCGCGATCGCAACCTCATGAAGGACGACTCGACCTACTCAAAACATGCCTTGAACTTAGGCATCATGTTCAACCAGCTGAGCGTTGTGCAATACTTGCATGTGAATTGCCCCGAGATTGCATGTTCCAAGCAAGCAACGGACACTGCCGCAGGAAAAGGTTATATCAAGATGGTGCAATGGGTGCACACCCACCGAAAAGAAGGGTTTTCAAAGCTCGCCATGACAAGTGCAGCCGGCAACGGACATTTGAACGTTGTGAAATATCTGCACATGCACCGACGTGAAGGATGTTCACCTCAAGCGATGGACGATGCCGCGGCCCATGGTCACGTTGAGGTCGTGCAGTTTTTGCACGAATCAAGGAGTGAAGGGTGCACGACGGGTGCCATGGACGTGGTTGCAAGCCGAGGTGACCTGCATCTAGTGCAATACCTCCACGCCCACCGTCCAGAAGGCTGTACAACAAATGCGATGGACAATGCTGCGTCCAATGGCCATTTGCAAGTCGTCCAATTTCTTCACACGAATCGGCGCGAAGGATGTACGACTCGGGCTATGAACGGGGCCGCCGCGCGGGGATGCCTCGAGGTCGTCCGCTGGCTGCACTGGAATCGGTGGGAAGGTTGCACAACGTACGCGATGAACCAAGCTGCCAAGAACGGTCATTTGAACATTGTAAAGTTTTTGCACGCCCACCGGCCCGAAGGCGCGACGACCGTGGCAATGGACAGCGCGGCCGAGAACGGACATTTGGAAATTGTGAAATTTCTTCACACCCATCGAAGCGAGGGATGCACATCGTATGCCATGGACAGCGCGTGTCGAAATGGCCATGTGGACGTTGTTCGATGGCTGCATGCCCATCGGTGGGAAGGCTGTACAACCCGCGCCATCGACATGGCCGCTGGTCAAGGCCATCTAGAGATCGTCCAGTGGCTCGTGGAGCATCGAGTGAAGGAGCGGTGCACGCACTTCGCACTCAACAATGCATCGCAAAATGGCCACGTCGCTGTTGTCGCTTACCTCAAGCAGCAGCCATCGCGGCATTGCGACCAGCGTGGTGATAGGGGTGCTCGATCGAACTAGCCCCGCTCCTTTAACTGGAACATAGCGATACAACGGTCCTGGTGGTGCAGCACTCGTAACGAGATGCAACTTGACAAGTTTGGTGTTGGCGGCGTTGTCAAGCACAAAACATGTCGGGAGCGCAACCATCTCGATGCCGAACGCTACAGCTGAGAGCAATGAAAAGGACGTTAAAAGTGGTGCGAGTTTGCTTGGGGAAGTTGACACTCGAACTACTATGTTTCAGCCTTCTTTACGTGCACGCCAAGACTATTTAGATTCACACGCCGATCCGAGTCCAAGTAACCTTTTCGATGCCGAGAGTTGTGGAGGAATGCACCGAGGTGCACGTCTCTTAACTCAATCGGCCATTCCTCTGTCGTGACAAATCGCTTGGGAACGTTTACGTGTCCCTTGAGAAACTTGAACCATTTCAGCGCCCGCATGTTGATTTGCCAGGATTCATCATGCGCATCCCAGACGAAGTCAACGCTTTGGAGTTCCACGAGTCTCGACTCGGACAACGTCGACTTCCTCATCCGCAGGTTTTGCACCCAGAGCCCAAGGCGCATGCCGCCTCCAAACGCAGGCCACTCGTTGCTGTCGCATGGGACGACGAACGTATTTGGGATGTTCACATGGCCATATAGTCGATGAAATGTTGTGAGGAGCTCCATGTTTTGCTGCCACTCGTATTCGTGCACACTCCAGACGAATCCGAGTTGATCGAGAGCGGCAACACGGTCTGCATGAAGGTCTTTCTTGAGTCGAAGCCGAATGTTGTCGACGATGCGGCCGAGTTTCCAATTCCACGTGTCTTGGGGCCATCTTTCGTCGTTTTGGGGGATTACAAAGCGTCGCGGCACAATGACATGGCCGTTCAGTTTCAAATACGTGTTCAGGGCTTCGATGACCAAGGTCCATTTGTGCTGCCTCATGTCCCAGATGAACCCAACCTTGTCCAGGGCTTCCACGATCTCGCGATCCACCTTGTTCTTGCGGTACAATTCACGGAGCGCCGACACATTGACCCACGACCCATGAAGGCTTGCAGGGAAGTCTGGCAACGATGGCACAGTGAGCTGCGCTGGCAACGTCGTGTACTTGGACACTGCGGGGTCATACGCATCTGTCGCCAACTTCACCACGATTTTCTGCAGAGAAAGCGGCATGGATGATGCAGCAAATGCGCGTGTGAAGCATGCACGAAGCTGCGGCGCCTTCAGCACCAGCGTCGCCATGGCTGCAACTTCCTCTCAATCTGAAGCACTCGGATCGGCTGATGATTGGTGGACATTGGATGAAAACACGTCGAATATCGGCTGAATATTCTCAAAACATGTTTCAAAATTCATGGTACACTTTTTCAAATTTCGAAATCTCTTGTTGGAATCAGTCGTTTCAACTCCAAGTGGTACATGTCAGAGTAACAACCGACATCAAACCGACATTTTCTGGCGATGGATTTGGATGACCGACGCTGGAATGATTTATAATTGGAAGGAATGTCGTATCCAGTGTCGAAGTGGGCAATGAACATGCCGTGCAGATACATAAAATTCACATTGTGGAATAACAAGGTACAATTGGCTAAAATCGAAACGACACAAGATCATTGTCAACATGACCCCCGCGCAGCAGCCGTCGGTCCCATCAAAGAGGACCATTCAAGAGTCCTTTCATGGTGCATCAACACGGCGAGCCTACAGCACGTATCAAAAACAATTCGAAGTGTTTCTGCGGACTGAAAAGGGCGGAATCGACCCAACCAAGGCAGGAACAGAGCATTTTACGGACTTCTTTCACTACCTCTACAGCCAAGGGAAGTAAGCTAGGACCATCGATTTGGCCAAGTTAGCCCTAGTTGCATATTTCAACGCCAAACAAGTGACCCCAAACCCAGCACAAGACATAAATGCACGTCGCTACATTGTCGGTCTGCAAAAATACAACAAGAAGCACAATGTCGACGAAGAAAAGAAAGCACATCCATTGACCGTGCAGGAACTTTCAACCCTCGTCAACGCTCTGGCTACACTGCACCCTTTTCTGGGCTCAATGCTCCGTCTTCTCTTGGCCGTGTGCTTTTTGGGTTGTTTTCGCATGAGTGAGGAGCTTGCCTTGCGGTGGAATGATGTTCAAATCGTGTCAGATTCAAGTGGAAGATATCTTTCTGTGCGGCTTCGATGGCACAAAAAGGTTGATGTTGAAGAAGACAGCCAAGTGTACCATCTTGTCGATGAAACACCGTTCCCATGCCCTCTTGTGTGGGTTTATCGACGAGTATACAGCAAAACTACGGTCCATCTGTGTGAACCTGTCCAGCTCTGCTTTTGTCTTCCCCAACATCATCATGCAACAAAATGGAGCTCCAAAAATTGAGTGGTACCATGGCTTGGAGCAAACCAACTTGCGCAAGTGGCTTACTGAACTCGTGCAAGCAACTCCAGACTTACCAATTGGTATTACATTGCACAGCTTGCGTCGTGGAGGCTCCTTTTTTCGCGTTTTTGAATCGAGAGAGCGCCGGTTCAACTTCAGGGAACTCATGGCGTGGTGACGTTGGGCCGATGCCAAGACTTGTTGTGAGTACCTCATCACTCAGAGTATTAGCAACGAGATTGACCCACGCAACTTGCTTCGTACCTCGAATGTGAACCATTTGTCGCCATGGTCATGTATTGCGTCCGGTGGCATGCCGTTGTCCGTGGAAGCCCTTGTTCAAGAGTTGGCTAAGTCTCTGCAAAAGGAGACATCTCTTCGGCAAGTTCCACCAAAAGCTACAACACAGCGGTCAATGGACTTGTATGTTGCTCAAAAGTCCATACCAACTGCTCGTTCTGCTCGCAAGCCGTGGTAGCAATGGTTCACTGCAGATCCAAGCATTGGCTTGGTTTGTGCGCTAAAGGACTACACCAAAGAAATGATAAGGTTGGACAGGAAAAAGTACTCAGAGCGCGTCACCTCAGCCATGGCATTCAGCAAGTTTCAGACGTTTGCGCAATTTGAGGCCGCGTACGAAGGGTTCACCAACTCTTATGGGGTTATTCTCAAAGAAGTAAGACACAGAAAGCAAAATGGTTGCATGTAATTGAATCAATTTTCCATGTATACGTTTGGCCTAGGTATGAGCAGGGACGGGCAGGGACGAGCAGGGACGGGCAGGGACGAGCAGGGGCGGGGGCGAGATGTCAAAGCAAAAATCGAAGTGCTAGAATTGATTCTATTGGTTGAAGACTACCCGGATATACAACCAATCACAAGTTTGTCGGATGGATTTGTCGTAACCGTAATGTTATCCACACATAAATAACGCCAGCAACAACCTCCATATTGTGCAATCTTCTTTACAATCCAATTCTTCCACACGGTATTAATTTGTATCATGGTGGATAGGAGGAATAGAAAACATCCCAGATGCATTCTATTTTTTAGTCACCGATAATTTATTGTTTTCGTCAGATCAGCGGGTTTGGGGTAAAATGCGTCGCATTCGGGCATCCACAATTGTGATTGTGCGGCTTTCTGCATAATTTGTCCTCCTCTGTATTTTTCGCATTCTATGTCGTCTAATGTCCACTGTGTGTTGAGGTGAATTGCAAGACAATGTCCGATGTCAACGTTTGATTGTTAAACGTCATGGTTAAACGTCAAGAATCCAAATACATTAAACCTCTAAACCAACGAATGGATCAAACTCGAGTGATTGATCACACAGAGTATGTATGCATTGACTTTACATGTGACTCACCGTCTCGTTGGCCTCATACACTTTTTGAATGGCTCGAGTAAATCAAGAAGGTAGTCACTATCCTTCTAACGAACAGACACCATTGGATGGATACTTGCCATAACTTGAGCAAGAAATGAAGTTGTGGAGGTATGAAATGACGTTGGTGGAGCAAGGTATAAGCCAAGCCTTTGGCGCGAAGCATGTCAGTTTGACGAATAGGCGGTAGTGGATTGGCCCCGGGTTCGAGTCCCGCGGTACGCCAAAATTTTCCCCAAGTTAGGGGGGCTTGCAACCCGTGGACAAGATATGCGTTGACACGGTCGATCGCAACACGGAGACGGTCCTGAATTGGTGGCACGGGACGCCGGCCTCCTTGGCGAGTTTCGAATCCGGCGCGGTGATGTCGACGTGTTCAGCATTTAACGTGGCGTACACTTGTTGACGCGGTCTTCACGCCGCAACCAGTCGATGTCGAGCTTGGAGAGGCTGGAACCGGACGTGATTTTGATGGGATCTGTAGTATCCAGGGCACCAAGAGTGCGCTGGGAGATGGAGGCGGTGGCCATGACGGTGAAGACAGCGATGGTGACAATGCGGACAATGTACGTAGAAGGTTGCCAAATGTGTGATGCTACTCGGGGGACGCCGAAGCATGCATGCACCAAGGATGATGGAATGATTCTAGAAATGGCTTACTTCGTTTACGCATCCGCCGTCCCTCAGCGTTGTGCAAACGCACGTTGGCGGCCATGCTGCGCAACCACACAAAGAGCAAAACAGCGTCCGCTCGTCGGGGGAAAATTCCTCCAAAACTTGCAAGAACACGATGATATGGTCGCTGTTCGGGTCCACATCGTCGTACTCGGTGCATTGTTTGATAACGACCAGAGGCGTGTCATACAGAACATTCCAGGGCATGAGCTATACGAAAGCTTGATGACTAGACCCCAAAACCGACAAAAGCTGTGGATGGCGGCAAAGTGTCCTCGGCAAACGTGCAAAAGACGGCATATTCTATCAATCTATTGAGGAAGAGCCTCAGTAAAACTGCGCCGGATTTCTTGCGGCGAAATTCGCCCCCATGCCTTTATGGCACGGCAAATCATAACAAGACGCTTTTGCTGCGCCGGGATTGTCACCAAATCTATGTCTTCCTCACTATAGGACTCCTCAATCAACTCCTCCTTGAGCCATAGATTTCGCATGTGACGCTTGAAAGGGGTCATAATTCCGACGTCCAAGGGCTGTCCCCACTGGTTGCGTTAGGTGGAATGGCAGCCACGAAACACCCCGCCTCTTCGCTGGCTATCTTGAAGCCTTCCTTGCTTACATGGGGATCAAAATTGTCAACCAGCAGCACCGACGGCTCATGCACTTGGGGTCGCAGAACCTTGCGTACATAGTACGCCCAGATGCGATGATCCATCCAGCCGCGTTCTTGGACGGCGTAGTGGTGGCCAATTGGGAACGTGTCGAACTCGTTCTGCTCGATGGCCCCACCGGGCACTCCTCTCATAATGAAAAGTATCGGCAGCTTTTGCCCGTTCGCGCGGACACCAAGGACAGCAGTCATACAGTATGAATGTTTATCCCCACAGGCAAACTTTGAACTTCCACCATGAATAGACCATATTGCATTAGGGGGGCATATCGTACGTGATACCTGTTTCATTCACGTTGATGATCGTGTCCATCCTAAAGCTGTTGAATGTATTGTGGAAGTCCAGTGCAAACTCCTTTCGTGATCTCAAGGTCCTTCTGGCTCCGTTTGCTTTTCGTTGGTCGTTGTCGCGTGAAGTGGTGGCGCGAGCAAAACCTTTGCAACAGCTTCAAATGGGACTGATACCCACAGTTTTGGTGGTAAAATGGTTGTGGAGCCACTCTTTCTGGTTCCGCTTCAGGAAGTGGACGATGTATATGCACGTGACTGGCTTCTCGGCATCGCGGAGCTTGTGCGTGAACGCCTCGAGTTTTGCAGTATTGGGAATCTCTTCAGGCCTCCCAGCTCCGTCGAGGTTGCATCGTTCTTGGTACCGCCGAAGCTGAGGAGTTAAGTGGCGTGTCGCATCCATCGAGAGAGGTAGCTCTTGGGGATTCCTGTTCGAGCTTCGACGTCGCGTGTGGCGGCATCTTGCATCTTGACGATCATGCCACGCTTGATAGCATTAAAGTAGCGTCGCCTTGGCCTCTTCTGAGGGTTTATTTGGCTGCGGCGCTTTAGAGGCATTGAGAAATGAGTGGACACGGTGTCACGTAGTATGTATGTTGCCCGCGAATTTAAAATGTTTTCGCGCCATGGAAGAGTTTTAACTAATCGACACATCGCACGCCAAAAATTTCATTGTCATTGGTTTGTTCACTGACAGCTGCAGATGTCTTGGGCTGTCCCTTAAACTCCGTCGTTGTCTGTACTTGGTACCTTTGGTTGAGGCCATGGGATGGGCCAGGGGCGCTTGGACGTCGGTAGCGTCGTCGACCGTCGTCAACGGTTGGAATCGTACAGGTATTGTTGATAATATTGATTAGGAATAGTTGGTTGACATGGTCATTGGAAGCAAACAGTACCTGCAAAATTTGATTCTCTGTCTAAATTCTATAATTTGCTTTGTTTCAAAGTGGGGGAGATCAGTACACCAAAAAGACCACTTGGTTCAAGTTCAATTATTCGATTAGAGTTTCACCATTCAATCATCCGAACCGTTACCAACTTTGGGCTTGTCCAGGTCAAAATCGTGTCTTCATTTACGAAAATACGGCAATTCAAAGTTGGAATAGTTGTATACATGCAAAGCAGGTTGTTGCTTTCGTGCTTTGCACCGTAGCAGTTCAGACGACAGCAGAGTTTAAGAACAATGAGAGCATCGAGTTGAGGATGATACACCAATGTAATTGGACGAGACACTTCAATTTTTGGCCAGCCATTTCGCGGTCCCAAATTGACTATTCTTACTTACGCACAAATCATTTTATATTGCAGATCATCTAAATGCCAAGGAAACTAGCATAGTGTCATCTAAGGAAGCCATGAAGTGGACCAAACCTTCAGAGTCTGACATGGCTTCATCGCAGCCGGCAGAGATTTTCCGATTTTTGTCGCCTTCGAATGACTTGTGTTTCGTGGACATTTCATCGTGAATTTAATTTTTAACCAATAGCATTTGTTTTTGGAGCGGATTTGAAAAAAATGTACTTCCTCTGTACCACATTACTGTTACGATTAGAGAAACCAACTTTTTTCACTTTACTGTGGTGAAATCGATACTATTGGTTGATGAATACATGTAATGATTTAATTGGTCAAAATTTAGTAGCCTACAACAACAACGATACAGGGCAGGAAACATTCGAAATGAGAAGCCTAGCGCGTCTCAGGGATGCCTTCTTGAGATGAGGCAACTCGAACTTGTTGCCGCCACCGTGCTCGAGGACTAAACGCATCACTGCCTGATAAGTAAGGAACACACTTTCGAGCTTCTCATAGCTCAGCTCGTTGTAAGCATCCAAGGTATTGCGTACCACA